GGAGCACGCTTGCTGGCTGGTTCATCTCAGGAAATTCCTTCTGGATGTTCCCCTTCAGAAATAGCCTCAGGCTTGTCTTACGTGGTAGAAATTTAATGGTGAAAGTTGCCCTTATGTTGGGATGGTTTTAGTTAGCATACATTGGTGTTCAGTGCTGCTGGATGAAACCCTGAGCTTCGGTTGGCAGCACAGTTTACGTTAACAGCAGTGTGGTTTCTTTAACGCTCTTCCTTGAAACACCATGAAGCCCATGCAGGTGGCCTTACGTACAGTGGCATAAACAGATCTCTGCCATGATCCCACAGCATCTTGTTCATGTTTCTGGTGCGTTTTTGGTTCTCTGTCTGTAGTTACAATGTAGAGGTATCTGGAAGCTGCTCCTCCTGCTAATCTGTATTTCGTGATTCCGGGGTTGGATGCTAAACACAGCTGCAGCTTAGAAAATTTGAAGTGCATTATAACCAAGTGCAGAAAAAGCTGGGTTTCCTTGGATGGTGGTGCTGGGAGAGCAAAAATTTACAGCGGAGGTATCTCAGGTTGAAGCAGCAAATGGAATTTTAGTAGAAGGCTTCTGGTTTTCCATGGCATGCACTCCTGGCATGCCTAGGTAGGGGCTGTTCTGGGTGGTGGCTGCCTGAGCTTTGCAGGAGCGACACCAGGCGCTCTTTCTGGAGGCATGGTTCCTGGAGCCCCCTGTTCAGGAGAAGGCAGGTCACGGGGGAGAAAGGGTATAGATCCCAATGAGACCTCCTCAAGGTGAGAAGCTATAGCATGGCTCCTTCTGTGTAGCTTTGGAGGAAGCTGAGCTGGGTTTCGGTTTGTCAGTTCCTTCTCCAGCCTTCCTCCAGGATTGCAGCCGAAGGAAGGTGCGCAGGGAACAAAGGGCTCAAATAGCTGATTTTATTTTAACTGCCTTCTTTGGCAGTCAAGAAAAATGAATAGCTTTCCAACCTTTTTTTGGCAGGACAGGCAGAATATCTAGAGACAGAAGTCTCAATTCATTGTAAAAAGGGCTGTTTGTTAATCTGCGAGAGACACCTGAGTCCTCCAGCGAAGTATGTTAAGAACTAATTCCTGCTGGTAACCAGTCACTTAGGTTTTTTGTTTATGATCTGAAAATAGGAACAGCCTTGTAGCCCCAAAGGGATTGTGCCTTCCTCTTACTATCAAAGTACACAAGTGGCAAGAAAGTCTTTCTTGTTCTCTGAAACAACTTCAGTAAAACTATCAAACTGTATCCTGTAAACAGTCCTTTCTTGGAAGTGCTGCCCAACTGAAACATCAGAGTTTCAGTTGTTCAGAGGTGTCGTGTGTCGCGCCCCCCCCCCCCATTTTCCTGTGAAGTTGCAATGACTGCAAGAACTGATCTGTTTTCAGATTTAGTTTAGCAAAAATTGCCTTCTAGTGAATGCGAAAACAGCTCGTGATAAGAAATAGTATCTTTTTTTTTTTTTTTTCCCCAAGTGAAGAAATGTGGATTCTTGCACTTCATTTCTAATAGCATCTTGGTAGCTGCACAAGTCTGTTTACTTCTTTCTGTTGAGAACCTCAAGGTTACCACCTGCTGTTCCCCCATTTCACACTTGTGCAGCTGTACGTGGTATATGAGACTTCAGGCATTGGTTTTAAGTGCTGTGGAACCTTTTCTTCTGGCAGAAGTCACCTCCTGTGTCTCCCCTTGGAGTCTGCACTATTAACTTTAGTCTTGGGTCATTGCTTTTGTTACAAGGCAGAGGGGGAGTATCAAAAGATTGGGGGTATTTTTAAGTTGCGAAAAAGTGTAAGTAAATTGTGGCAAAGAAGTAAAAAATGCTGTTCTCAACAGCTTTCAAACTGTGTCAGACAATCCACATGTCAGTTTACTGTCACTCTGCGACATTAGGTTGTAACTGCCCAGAACTGTGTGTTTCATGCTTGAAGTGATGTCTTGTGGCTCTTCACTCACTGTATGGATCTGTAGCTATGACGGTTGTTTCAAATTTGCCTTCAGCTTTATTTGTGCTGGCATAAGGCGTTTACAGTATTAAGCTGACAAAAGCTGTAGTTAGTAGATTGCCATAATATTGGGTTTTGTTGGTTTTGGAGTTCTAATTTTGCTAGCCATCATGAAAAGCTACTGCCATGAAAAGACTACCACCATATTAAAAGTTCTGCCAAATTGAACAAATACAGGGAAATTAATGTTTGTGCCAAATGGAGCAGGTTCTTGCCATAACTTACATGGAAGTTAACAGGCATCATCTTAGTCGTATATTCCAATCAAGGCTATGACCACTGGAGTGGCCTTAGGTGACTACTTCTGTGGATGCTCTCACCAAGAGTAAGCCTAAAGTTATTTTACAGTGTTCTGATGAAGTATGGATGTCCTGTTACTAGGAGGAAAGTTGATTTATGTTTCAGGGTAGAGTGCTGTTGGGGATCACTGCAGTCATGGTCAAATGGAAAGGGGCTACTGGGACTTGTTAATATTTGTGGTAGTTGTTTTTTGTTTACTTTTTGTTTTGAGATGCATATGAAGTGTATTGTATTTGCATGAGCTTGCTAGCTGTGTTGCTGGAGGTAATTTCCCATCAAGTGGAGTCTGCTGGAAACTCCCCATTCAAGTGACTGGAGGACGGGATACTCTTCAGGCAGGGTCTCCATCTCTGGCAAATGCTAGCTGAAACTTCAGAACAGTAGTGCAAAAAACACCCCAACCCTATAATCAAGTTGACTGGTAGCGATGCTGTTTCTGGTATGCAGTATGATTCAGAGAAGTAGAAATTGTGCTTTTGACAGTTTGGCTTAAAAAACAAATGTAACGAGTAGTGACAAAATATCCAAATACATGAAAACAAAACACTTAATGCATTCCAAATCTCTAAAGGAATTAAATGATAAATTTATATGTGCCTTCTCAAAGAGTAGAGCTAGCAATGACATTTTTAAGGAAGCTTAGAAAAGAAAAACCTAAAACCTCCAGTAGCAACACTTCTGCCATCCTGAATGTAGACCTAGGGCAGAGAGAAATGCTATTGCTATCAAAATGTGTGGTATTGTAAGCTTTCTCTCCTCCCCTAGAATCTGCATAAGCGTATGATGTGAACAAGCTAAAAAATGCCCTTTTTCTGACTGATGATAAACTGTACGCCATGAACCACTGTCTAAATAAAATGGCATGAAAAAAAATTAGAAATCTGATATGTTTTCTATGATTCCAGGATTCATTGATTAAATTAAAGGATCCATCTGTACCTAAATATAATTAAAGACTTCAGTGGAGGAGGAGAAAGCTGAGTTGTCAGATGGAGTAACAGTATTTTTCTGGGTATGCAACTGTCTTGTGCATCTGCCCCATCTCGTAAAGACTGCTTGAGAAAGGAGGGAATCATCAAGATGTGCTATGTAAATGGCAATATGTTGACGTTACGGAATTTTATACCAAGTTTTGTGTTGTCTTGCAATATCCTCTTATGCTTTTAGATATGAAGGATGAAAAGCTGTTTCTAAGCACGTGGTTATAGCTTGATTTTTTATTTTTTTTATTAAATAACCAGGACTCAACTCATGGAGCTTGTGGATCTTCCTGTTGTATTAATTTAAACTCAGACAGAAGCAGTGTTTTAGGCGGTATTGTACAGCAGTATTTTGACAGCTTCCAGACTAACCAGGTAGTAAAAAGACTATTTTGTTGATGCAGTCTTGTTTTATACTAGGAATGATCATAAGTGTGCATGGAAGATCTGGGATTCTTCAGATACTGGGTAACTTGCAAGAAAGTTTAATGCAGTCCTCCGAAAATGTTGAGGTACTCTTATTTACGTATCTGACATTCTCCTGTACCTTCCCCTTCTCTTCTCTGCGAGAAGACCTTGTGAAGCGGGAATGGTGGTTTTGGTGGTGGGCTCTGCAGCAGCTGCTGTTGAAGGTAAAGGAGGTGAGGCACCGGCAAAAGTAGGGTGCTCTGCAGCTCCCTTGGAGGATCTGAAGCTGTTCAGATCAGGGATCCAGCTGGCACTTCGTATCTGTGACCCTGATGAAAGGTCTGGATTTTCCAGAGCCTTAGCCCTCAGGGGCTTGGGGAGGGGGCAGCGCCGGCGGCATCCCTAGCTGAGTGGTTTCCAAATGCAGGGAAAATGGGACGGTGCTCTGGCATCTGACTGGTTCTCCTTAGGGTGATTTTCACTTGAAAGCTGTAGTAAAAATACTCATTGTTTGTTAACTGTTTAATTGTTTGTCATTATAGCTGATGGGGTAGGAGAAAGGTGGCATGAATTGAATCGTGATGGGCTGACATTGCTGTAGGTTTGAAAGAAAAACATTAAAAAGCAAGGAAACAACGCAGAAAAGTCTTTCTTCCTCCCCCCCATTTCTCTCCGCCGCCCCCCTCCCCCCCCAAATATCTCCTATTTGGCTGTAAGCCACTTTGATTAAAACCGTGCATCTTCATGCTTTTGTACAGAGTGGCCTTGGCTTTCACTGGAGATCACTGCCCTCTGACCAAGGGAGATGGTCTTGAAGGTGAACTGGTATTAATCAGGCTTCAGTTCCCATTGCAGGTTTTCTCTAAACCGTATCTTCACCTGTAAGTATGTGCCTAAATGTTCAGAAAGTGAAAATGTATGGAGGCAGCCAAGTGTGACAGTGGTGATGAATTCTGCAGGTTGAAGAACTGCTTCAGGAAATGACTGTTAAAGTAGTCCCAGAGTGTGTGGGGGGGGTGTCTGTCTTTTTCATGTCCAAAATACCATTTTGACTCGAATGATGAACTGCTTCGCTATTTGCACCTTGTATGCACGTAGTGTTTCAACATGACTGTCTAGTTAAATTTTTCTCTTGACTTCAGGAATTGTTTTCTGTCATAAAATGCAGAGTAAAGTTGATGTATGCTTAGCTCTTACATTTCTTGGCAGCTGTTCCTTGGAGTAAGAAACTAAATACTAAATTATCTTATCAGTGTGGTCTAGTTATTTCTTCCACAGAAGCATAGGATAGCCATAACATCACTTAATTTCTAACAGTCTGGGTGTTTTTCTCCACCAGGAGCTGTTCTTATCAGAAGCAGTAATGGCCAGCTAATGCTGGTATCTCAACAAGCAATAGCACGAGCACAGAACCAGCCGCAAAATAACACAAGCGTGAGACCAGCTGTACCTACCAGCACACCTGCAATCAGAATATGTGCTGTACAGGTAACTTCTCTCATAGCTTTGATTTGATGTAGCTGTATGTTATGTAGTTATAACAGGGTTTGCAAGTAAGTTATGGAGGGTTAAATAAGCATTTGAACACTTTCTGAACAGCATGATGCTGTTTGGTTTTGACCACAAACTTCACTACATGCTTTGCTTTCTCAGTTTGAAAAAACAGCTAGCTGTTACATATGGTATAGTTCAAATTAAGGAGTTCCTCTCTGATGATGATGTAAAGGGTTTTAAGGAGGAAAAAAACCCCAAAACCCACAAACAAACCGAACAACCCAAAACCAAAAAACCTAACTGAATGGTTACTGCTAGTAACTGCAACCTTGCAATCCTGTGGAGGGGTACTTCTCTGAAGTTGGTGAAGCTGAGGCCCTTTCCCATGGCCCCAGGATGTTCGTCCTTGTCTGAGCTCTGCTGACTTTTTGCTTCCATCTCTTGTAATGTGGTCAGCACGCAAGAGTAAGAGTGGGTACAAAAAAAGTAACCATCTGCATATTTCTTGCCAACATGCTTGTCCTTTAACTGTTTTATTCTGATTAGGCATTGTGCCTAAATATCTCCGAATCTGTTCTTGAGTATTAAACTGATAGACAAATGGCTTTGAACAGTGTTTAAACTATATGGATTACGTGAATGATGCCTGTATGTTACTGTACGGGCAGTTGTCTTGGTTTATATTGGATAAGAGCAGGTACTAACTTCAGTGTCTGTTTTGTCATTGACTTGTCTGATAGCTGTTCTCTGCACATGTATAATTTTTTTTTTTTTTTTTTTTAAGAACTCTGGCACCCAGTTACTAAAGAAAGTAGCAGCTGCTCCTGTGAAAACATCTCAAACAACAAATGCTGTGGCTTCTACTGTTCAGTCACCTACTGTAATACGGGTAGGTGGGAAGCTTTATAGTGCAGTGGAATAAGAATAAGTGACAGAGAGAACTGAAGAAAATGTGGATACATTCTTGTTATTTCTAACTCTAATCTGGTTTTCAGTAAGGTTGGTAACTTTTGTCCTCACAGTAAATTCTCTCCTGAATGTCTTTTTTTTAAATGCATAATTTTAATTATGCTTCCGCCAGTGTGTCAGATCATCTTATCTCACTACAGTAGAAAGCGCATGAACAATGGATAAAATAAATAGCTCAGAGAGCCATTTCCAGTGCTTTTGTACTCTGTGACAGAGCTCTTTCAAGCTCTAGCTGAAGCTTTTCTGGGAGATGGAGATTTCCTAATGCTCTCTTCTGTTGGGGTTCCCTGATTCCTTAGGGGGAAAAAAGTATACCTGAGATGATCTTGAGGTGAAAATGAGCTGTCTGCACCAGTCAAGCTGTTTCTCAGGTGTACATTTTTTTCCCTCATTAAAAACTGAAGGAATGTCATAGCTGAAGACCTCCTGTCTTCTAATTGAGTTTGGCAGACAGGTTCCACAGATACGACTGTAAATAGACAGTGGTTGGAAATGCCTCATTATTTTTAGGTAGTGTTTTTTGTCTTATTTCCTAGGTCTTATTTCTCTTTTTTTCGGAGAAAAATGTTGTAGGACTCTTCTGAGGAGGCTCTTGCCACCTGTGGAGTATGATACTTCTAGATACAGTACATCTTCTATTCTTGGGGACCAGAGTTCTTGATAAGCACATGTGATGTAAAGAAAACTGCTTCTATCTGCAGCTAAAATTTTCTGTTCTCCTCATAATCTGGAGGATAAATTGGGAGGAAGTCTGGCTTGTACATACTTTTTTGTGAACAAGAGCTTGAAGGAGACTAGGCTGTAGCAGTTGACCAGGCGCTCTACTAAATGAGCAGTATCAATCATTCAAAAAAACAAGCTGGATGTATGTTCTTGACCTTGAGGGTGTTTGAAGGATTGGGGGATATGTTCACTGACAGTGGTAACTAACAGTCTGACTTACAAATTCATCCCCCTGCTGTTCTTCTGTATCAGCAACTGAAAACTACTCACAGCTCTGTCATCTTTTTTTCTCGTCCTTCTCACTACATATGGATAATGTTGGGGCTAAAGGGGAAAACCCAGAGGCCTCTCAATACATTTTCTATTTTGCTTAGAATGGAAACAACATACGCTTTGTGTCTAAGAACAGTAACCGGTATTCCTTACCCACTTTTATTTTCGAACACTAGCTTGCAAACCTTGTGCTTGTGATCTCTGCATAGAGATCTTTAGGATATAAAAGCAATAGTCATCTACTCTACTACCCTTGCACTGGGGAGAAGAGATGAAGGTAAAGATTTCTTCCGTCTGATGGATGAGGCTGCTTGCATCCTCACACTCTCATGTGGGTAAACATTGAGACTAATCATGCTATTACCTTTGCCTTTTTTTAACTTACATCTGCCTTTGACTTGGTTCTTCTGTACTTTCTTAGTTCAGTTTTAATATAATCAATTTAACTTGTGTTCTTCTGAGATATTTAAAGAGGTAGACATGCAATATTTTTTGTAAGCTGTATTTTTTTCCATTGTAGAAACTTGAACACTTCTAATAAGCCATAGGGCTGGATTTAAACAGCAGGAACAATGACTCTAGGAAATGATGGCATCACAAAAAGTAGGAGACAGTGGAGAGGAAATAATCCTTGGCTTGGTTGCGTATCTCCTGTCCTGTGCGAAGTACAGCTTGGAACACTACTGTCTGCAAAACTCTCTTTAGTTACTGACTCCAGGATTATTCTCCTCATCTACAAAAATATTTCCATTTTTTGACATTCCTGAATGTTTTAAGCTCTGAAGTTAGACGAAATACCTGCACATTTTTATTTTTTACCTTCTTCCCAGATGGGGTAACGAAGCTGCAAAGTATCTAATTAGCATCATGCTGGGGCACTTTCATTTAGATGCAGAGCACTTCTTCTCTTGAAATTACTTCAAAATATGCAGGATTAATGCCATTTTTTTTTTGCGCGCTACTGTTTCTCTGTTGTTCGAAGTGAGAATGAGAATTGTCAGTAGTGAAAAAGGTTGAGGGCAGATGACAGAAGTTAATTCCCATATATTCATCTTCCTGCGAAAAGGGTCCAGCAGACTTCCTGTTGTTCCCTCCCTTAGCTGATAAAATGCCGTTCTGGTCTTGATGTGTAAACATGCTGGAATTTGCAAGAGATCAGCTCCCATGAACCTCATGTTTTCGACTTTTAAAAGCCCAGGGCATTGCAGCTTGACAGATCTGTACTCTGTCCCCTTCCGTCTTCCTCCCGTCCATCTGTTTGTGGGATTCCCGTGCCCAGTTTGCGTCCCTGTGGTCTTAGAGCTGTTGAGCCTCATCCTTGGAAGAGGCAGTGGTGGTGGCAAAGATCCTGCAGAGAGCTATTAAAGTGTTACCAACAGTGGGAGCCTGAGCTGGAAAGCTTTCTGGTAGCTGCCTGCTTCTTTCATGTCAAGCTGGCAGCAGCTTGGTGGGGGACGGGGACGGGACACACGACATGGGATGGACCCACCCAGGAAGAAAATAATTTATAAATAAATAAGAAAAGTGCCAGTTGTTTGCTATAGCTTTAAATGTTTGTTCATTAATTTTCCCTATCCTGAAAGACTTAAAAGCCCTTTGATATTCTACATGATGTCTGTCCAACTGTGATTAGTTTTTGTTTTATCCATGGTAGGGTAAGTTAGGCTCTTGTGTTGCTGTTTTATCATTAATGCAATTAGCTAGTATTAATTTGTGATTGTTGGACTAAACTGGGGTGTTTAAACATGCTAAGAGTCAGTGAAAGCAATTGTGCTGTGCAGATCTGAACCTGGAATGTGGCCTGCAAAACCAGACTTTCCCTTTCTCTTGAGAGGTTTGGAGGAAAAACAAACCCAACTTCAGGTTTCAAATGCTAACCTGAAACACTTGCTTTTCTGTAACCTGCAAGTTCAATCTGGCTTTTTAGTTTTCAGGTTGAGAAATTGGAAGTAGTGGTTTTTGTAGAGGCAAAGTCTTACTCATATTGTATTCTGTTGTATCAGAAGAACTGTGTTGCATTTTTTCGGTGTGGGGTTTTTTTTCTCTTTAAAATCTGTAGTAGAAATACTTCAGTTTGGTAGGTTTTTCTCTGGAAACTACTATTTAGCTTGGTTTGCAAAGGAGAGAGGCAATTGTGTTCTTACTTTTTGCTAAACCTTCATTACTCTCCTGTTGCTGGAGCTTCTGCATCTGTTGATAAATTCTAATGAGATTTTAAAAAGATGTCTCAAAATAACTGAATTTTGTGAGGGTTTGTGTCTGGGCAGAGAAGAGGGAGATCCAAATTGCTGCCCACAAGGGAAAGGCAGGAGGAACTTGTTGGGTGCATTTGCTCAGCTCGCTGCTTCTGCTGGCACATGTATCCTTCGAAAGTGGACACGATGTCTTTCGCCTGCTGCTTGTGTGATAGGAAGAATAAGGGATATTGCAGTTGGGAGAGGAGCTGCAGGGGAAGAAAGGAAGATAAATAATCACTTAAGGTCGTATTTATCTTCAGAGTAGTATCACCTGTCTTAGCATTGTCCAAAATTCATTAGTTCTTAGGCTGTAGGAGCCTGACAAAGTTAATATATTGGTTTCTTCTAGACAACTTTACCTTTCTTTCTTCACTTGAAGTTGCAGGCAGTGCTTCAGTCTGGGTGAGCCTTTGTCATTTCTTCCCCCCCTCCCTTGATTTAAAAACAGAATTAAGGCTGGGGCGGGTTTTGTCACTTACTGTATTAAATAGAGCCTCTCAGAGCAAATGAATCTAAACTTTAAAAACAAAGATAAAAATAATTTCTTTGTGTTTTAAATAGTAGCGTGGAGGGAGGGTGCTACCTTATATGCTAGCAAAATACAGTATGTTTGTCACGTTAGTCTTCAGTTAAAAAGTGTTAATTTTTCTTTTCAGCCAGCAGCTGCAACAGCTAGTGTTACTACAGTTACTGCTGTAAAGCCTTCGAGTACTGCAACACCTGTAAAACTTCCAGTTACAGGACCACCTGCACAAGCTATCTCCCAAAAGGCAGTCTCTGTGAAAGCAGAGGGCACAACAGTAGCACAGACCAGCGCTTCTACAGTAAGGGGAAAAAAAAAGTTTTTAATTAAAAATTAACATTCTCTATATTCATCAGAGGTTGGAGAGCCAATGCAACTTCTAACAGTCTTCTCTTTATTTCCACACTAGGAGATGATAGAGAATGTGAAGAAATGCAAGAATTTTCTTGCTACACTAATAAAACTGGCATCTAGTGGACCTCAGGCCCCTGAGATGGGGCAGAATGTGAAGAATCTGGTGCAAAATCTTTTGGTGAGACTTTTTTTTTTAAACAAAGTCTGCATCATTTGTATATTGCTTTTGACATTGACTTAATCATAGTTTTGTTCCTTGTCTTTTTTTTCTTCTTTTTAAACAGCTGAAGAGTTGGATTTGTGTCTGAGTACACCTGACCCTCTTTGAGTCTTACATTGTAACTCTTATTTTAACTGGATCCCATGCAGTATTTTTTTTGGTCCTCACATTCCTGTTTCATTTTATGCACACAGATAACTGACAGCAGGAGGAGCTGATAGCGTTAACACAGCTCCTGGGTCTGAGCTGCTTTTTTTTCCATGTTAGTGTAGTTTTGAGTCCTCAATGGCAAGAGTATTACCACGGAGGCTGCAGTGCAGTGCTAAGTCCATACTACTGCTTTACTCCAAGACAGAACTGACTTACAGGTTGACGGTGAAGCTCCAGGGGAACAAGCATGACATTATCTATCTCTTTAGACAGTGGGATGGGGAAAATAACGTGGGGACTGCCAACCTCTCCCTCTCCTTGCAGGTGGCTTCCGTATGCTGCTTTGTGCTGTACCCCAGCACAGCTGGGTTTTCCTGGTAACGATTTCTTGTGCCACTTCTTGTCTTGGCAGTTGACCGCTGCTGCTGTTTTGTTGTTCCACCATAGCAGAAGGCTGTGGGCTGGTGGAGGGGGATGGCTTTGCTAGTGGTACCAAAGGAATTTTCAGTCTAGAAAAGCGTGGTGTAGACAGAGGTGTAATTTCAGAGAGCAGATTGTTAGAAGATGCAGCCTTGCAAAAATTGATTCCTCTGCCTTTGTATCCCTGCTGGACTATACACCTTGCTTCTGTAGGAAAATACTAGAGTTGTTGCTTCTTGTGCTTACAGTACTTTTATTTATTTATTTACTTTAAGAACAGTGGTTACCAGACATTAATACATCAGTAACTGTGCACTTGTTTGCTTGTTGTAGTATTTTAAAAATGCTGCTCTTCTGCCATTCAGTATGTGTACATGATTTAAATGCAGAGTAAATTAATGTTTCGTATGTATGAGGAAAACGAGTAAATGGCAGCTGTGAAGTAAAATGGCCCTTAAGGCAGCATCTCATGAAGTGGGGTGTCAAGTGCCTTGTATGCACTGAGATGTAGCATACCAAATCACTGCATCTGTATCTGTGAGACCTCAGTGACCTGTATGCGCAGCTCAGTGAGACCTAACAGGCAGCAGATCAAATGACTGAATAGGAGAGCATTTATATAGAGTTTGCCTGTGAATATACAGTCCTTACAAGTCCTGCACTGGTCATGTAGCCCCTTGGAACGGTTGTTCCAAAGGAGAATATGGGTGAGACAAGCAGTTTCTCTGCAGAGGCAGAGATTGGTGCTGGGGTCCCTCTTCCTTGTGTGTCTGTACCTTCTTGGAGCAGGCAATGTTCTCCATGTCTCTGTGGCAGGGTCTCACCTTGGAGGGTGAGAAAGGGCAGCAGTGTCTGGGGCTACCCACCACCTTGGCTCCGTTGTGGTGGCACTGAAGTAGTGAGTGAGGGGTCTCAGAAGTCTGCTGCAGCTTCCTCACCCTCCCAGGCCCTTGAGTCTGGTGTTTGTGTTGGGGCAGAGCCGAAAGCATTGAGAAAGGAGACTGTACTCTACAAGCCAGAGGGCTGTTACAGCAGTGGTATGTGGAAGTGATGTTCTCATGTTCAGCTTCTCCTGCTTCTGAAAGACATGTGAAGTGCTCTGCTTTATTGTGCTATGTATGCATTAGACTAGAATTGTCTTGCAAAAACTGCTGAGTTGTCTTTTGTCTCTGGTCCCTTTCAATTGATCTTTATGCAGATAAACTACCTTTACAGAAAAAAAAAAAAGTACTTGTAGTCGATTTTACATATCTCTGCATGACAATGAGGTACTCAAAAGGATCAGTGCTACTTATAAACTTGTTTCTATCAGTTCATTTCAGTGAATGGACGTTTGAACAAGTATCCTTAAGTGTGTTAACTGCCTGTAGTTGAAGAAAGTAATTAAATTTGATAATACTATATCTAAATTATAACATCATTCTATCTTAAAACCTTTTGTTTAACAATACAGCAGGAGAAAAGCATTTGAGTACTGAAATTGAACAATTACATGGTAATGTAAATTTCCACGAATTTTTGATACATCTGGGGAAAAAATATGGTAGATTCATAGTTATAACTTACCATTGTAATTATACTTTCCTCTTAGGAAGCAAAAATTGAACCAGAAGAATTTACAAAAAAGCTATATATAGAGCTCAAGTCGTCTCCACAACCGTATTTAGTTCCTTTTCTCAAGGTAAGTGTCTGATTGTGGATATATAGTATTTAATGAGGGGAGGCAGGAGGACCAGGAAAGGAAAGGAAAGAATCAGAGCATTCAGATAGGTACTTACTCAGGTCAGTTGAGGAAATGGTGCTTAACCTAGCCCTGTTGCTCTTGGAAAGACATTTTGGGGGGAGGAGGGATTTCAGAGGAGTAAGTTATGCTGTGTTCTTAAATTGGAGAATAATGACCCTCTAGTTGTTAGTGGAGACTAAAGTTTTGCAAGCTGGTGCACCTACAGTAGAGCAGCTATACTAAGGTGACCTCTTACTTTCTTATCAAAACTGTAGCTCTTCTGAGTTCTAATACAGAAGACTGACAGCAGTAGCTGTGCACAGTTTATGCAATATGTAAGCTCAAAGAATCTACATAAAGCTAGTCATGTCTACTGGTTTGTGTTTAACTGGAGGCAGAAAAAACACCCACCCCTTTCTCCAGAAAGGGTCTGACAGGACTACTGCAGCTTAGGAAAAGTAACCCAGGACAACTCTACCTCCATTCAAGCAAATAATCACATAAATTAAAAAAAAAAAAAAAAAAAGGCTCTCAACACTTTTAATCATATGGTAGAATGGTATTAACAAAATAAAAATGAACATCTTTATTGTACAGCAAGCATTAAATCCCGGTGAAAACATGGAAAACTTGGTTACATTTACTTAATTGCAGTGTGCACGTATTCTTAGGCTTGATAGATCTGTACTTTTCCTTGGCATTCATTATAGGCATGGTGGAGAATCAAAGAAGAATAGTTAAGTGGTAAAGCTGGGACAGAGGTTTTCTGGAGTTTGTCCTCTTCCTTAGTATTTGACAGCACATTTAACAATGCATGTGATAATATTGATATTACTTTAGATGCTTGGTGTTAATCTGTTCAAGTGTGAGATAAATATTTTTGTTACAATGGCAGCCTTTAAATGCTTTGCTAGCAAGTGTGCCGTGAGTCTAGAAGACTACAGTCATCTCTGCAGGGCTTGATATAAAATTTTTATATTGGTCATTTATTCTCTGTTTAATTCCTTGGAGGCTTCTTAAATACCCTTGCAAAAGCTAGAAAAAGGAACAGCTTGAGTATGGGCTTTCCTGCGTCCAGCGCAGCTCTGGGTGCAGAAGGACCGGGCTGTGAGTGTAGGGTCTGTGTGACTGGCAGAGGTTTCCTGTGAGCTGTGTGGAGTCTTAGCAGAGCTCTACTAACTCCCAGGGCGAGTTTGGCTTCTGAAGTGGCGTAGCTCCTTTCTGCAGGGCTCTGGCTGATGAACCCCCTGGACGTGGGCTGGCTGCGCTTGCGTGGGACCACCTTGAGTGCTGCTGTGCTGTGTTCCCGAAACAGCACAGGTGAACCTCAGTAGCTCTGCCCAGACCCAGCCTAAATCTGGCACAGCTAGACCTTGTCCAGGGCTGATGAGCCCCGATAGCCCCGGACTAGCTCATGCGGAGGAGCCAAGGGGTGGCTGCATTGTACTTGCTAATGCTTCCACTCTGTCGGGTCCCCCAAGGGTTTATTATTTATTAGCTCAAGCACAGCGCTGTCCTCATGCACTTGCAGGAGTGCTCAGCCTGAGTTAATAAGCCATCCCACAATGTGGAGAGCTGCTACACTTGGTGCACAGACCTTGATGCAGTTCCACAGGAGTTAAGTTGGGTTCATCAGCATGGGTCAGGAGTGAAGTTGGGTCATCAGCTGTTGCATGTTTCTCCTGCAACATGCTGCCAGGTACTGGTAATCATCTAAGTTTTTCTGTTTTGGGCAGTATCCGTACCCCATAGTCCTTGACAAGGTGCTCTCTCCCTGTTGCACACTATATTAACAAAGAAATACTGTGACTTCAGAATCGTTTTTAGACGTTGTCATGGTCGGTTAGCTGACTTTGTAGTGTTACCCATCCTTTAAAATGTCTTGCACCCTGATTGCTTTTTTCTGAAATACCTTAAGGATGTTACACACACCAGTTAGGTCTGTCCTCTAACTCTTGAGCAGCTGTGACAAGACTGAGTGCCAAATGGAAGCTGACTTTAGGAGCACTTCTCTAAGGTGCTACAAGGACTGGTGCAGGCCTTGTTCGCGGGGGAAATGCTTGCAGCTCAAGTCTGGAAAAAAATGTGATACGGCTTGTTGCCAATTCACTTTTAGCTAGTGAAGTGGAATTGTAGGGAGGACTCTCTGGAGTTGTCTCTTATCTTTGAGCTGCAGGTTTTTGATGAAGTTGTTGCACATGTTTTGTCTGTTCCAGTAAGTGGAAAAGTACAGTGACTTTGGCTGTGAAGCCTGCTTGATTTTCAAATCTGTGCTGAGTGCTTTTGGTAGATTGCATTAGGAGCATGAGGAAAGCTGAGCAGCCTTTTAAAAGAAAAGGAAGTGAATGTTAAAGATAGGTATACTGCAGAAGGTCCAGATGTGCAAACAATTTGTTCACTTGGTATATTAGCATGTGAGACGTTCCTTTTGCATGAAACCCAGAGCAGTAGCTCTGTGCTGGAGACTCTTAAAAACTTCAAAAACTGTCAAGGGGGGAAAAAAGGGGTTTGAGCATATACAGGTAGCTGCAGAACTGATTTCCCCTGGTTCTGAGCCATAACAGGTTGTACATAGTCAAGGAGGAAAATCTGTAGAGGGCTTGAAGATTATTCTGTCCATTAACCTTCTCAAACACAGCTGTAGTAAAAAATGAGATGTTGCCAGGTACCTTTACTGATGTTGCCTGTTGCAGAGAACTATCTGGCTTAAGTTGTGCTGCTGCAGCTATACAGACATTCTTAAAGTGGTATCCCCCCCTAGTGTAGATACAGCTGTATTGGTATAGAAGTGCTCATATCTTCAGAGCTTGTTTCTGACTTTATTGGATAATTTGTAGTTCTCTGTCAGACAGGCTCTGTGGAATAAACACAGCTGTTACAATATAGCAGGGATTTTTGGCAAAACAAAGTTTTTTTGATGTAGTAAAGCAGTTAAAATGGTCTTACTCTGAAACATAAATTCCAAATTGAAAAATCTAAACAGAAGAATGAAGTTATGGGTGAGTTTCCCTATAGATGGGATTTGCTATGTGCAGTGAAGCTATGGTGACTGTTGACCTTTGCTCAGCCTGTGCTGGTGATTCTTATGGTCTTCACTGAGCAGTATCGTCATTAATTTAAGGGTGTCTGAATTCCAGCAAAACTTGTTTGAAATAAACAATTTATTATCTCATGAAAAACTAAATTGGAAGAGGACTCAGTTGCTAATGTATCAGTATTGTGGAAGACTCTGCTGATGTTACGTCCAGTGTTTTTTCGTTTTTCTTCTAGAAAAGCATGCTTGCCCTACGGCAGCTAATGCCCAATGCCCAGAGCTTTATCCAGCAGTGTATGCAGCAGCAAGTTCCAACCCAAGAAGCTGTTTTGACTTGTACCTCTGCAGCACCAGCTCCTTCGATAGCAGTGGCAACCTCAGCTGGAGCAACAACTTCTATTCCAGTTATAAAACCAGTGTCTGCCTCTGTAACAGTCACAGCCCGTCCGGTTATAAAACCAGTCCTTGCCAGCACATCAGGTTCTGTGCAGACCGTGAAGCCTGTTTCTTCCTCTGCAGTGGTGACAGCATCTCTTTGGCCTGCAGCTTCGGCCCTCACCACGACAACAGCAACATCAGGGCAGGCTGCTGTCCAAACTGTCAAGCCGGTCTTCACCTCCGCAGTAGCGACGTCCTCTCTCCAGTCTGCAAAGCCAGTGCTGGTCTCTACAGCAGCATCTTCAGCAAAAGCCCCTCTCCAGCCTTCTCTGAAACCAGCCATTGGAACCCCAATCAGTATTAAAATCTCACAGCCGAACTCCGTCGTTGCGCAGTCAGTGGGTACTCAGCAGGTGGTTAAAGTGAAACAGTTGGTAAGATGAATTTCTCTGCTTCTGTCTAACTGGGCTTCTTTACTTTGACTCTTACAGTTTTGTAAAGAGGATATCAATTTGGATCTTGTCTAGTTATGTTTGTCATAGTTTAGGGATATTGAGCCCTTGCTGAAAAGGTGAATCTAAAGCCAAGCTGTAAGCTTGGTCTCTTGCAAGATGTGCTGACCACCATTCCACCAGACTGAACATCCAGCTTGAGACACAAGGGATATGAGTTCTGACCCCTGCTATGAGTGCAGCCAAGCTAGGTTGGCATCTGAAAGAAAAGGCAGGAAATGCTAGTGTCAGAAATTGCTGACGGGATGCTTACGTTAATTACTATGAGATGCCCTGTTAGGGCTGTGCATCAGCTAGCCACCAGGGATTCCAGTCTCTCTACCTTGGTAGTTCCTACCCTGGATACTTTGCAGGCACAGGTGGCTTGATGATGTTTAGTGATATGTTAACTGAAACGTACATACTAGCTCAAGGAGCTTCTCAGAGCAGAGTTCTGACCTCCAAATTTACAAAGACATTAATTATGAAGTCATCCAGAAGTGAGCTTTTTCTATCAGGCCTCCTTAGCTAACAAATTCCAGGAGGAATAAATGTCTTGTTAAAACAATACCCTCAAAAGCAATGTGTTAACTTTTTTTTTCTTGGCACAGGTTAACTTCTTGCTAATGTTAATGCTAAATACCAACAAACTGTGGATCGCAGGTATACCCAAAAGCGCAATGTTGTGAAAGACATTAGGTTTGGTTTATGGGTGTTTGAGATACTGAGTAGTGTGCTAACTGGTCCACCTGTATGTAATGTTCTCATTTTTTTGAGAGAGAACAGTCTCAATTCTTGCATAGGGCTTCCTTGTAAAGATTTTTTTTTTTCTTTAAAAAGAGGAGAAAACATTAGACTTCCTAGGAAGCTAGATTTACTTTCCACAGGTATAGTAGGGCATCTAGTGTGTGAATTTCCTCTGTGGTTTTTTTATTGTGTATACTCCATTTAACAGTATTCAGACCCCTAAAATGTTTTGCTTTTTAAATTTTCTTCCTTTCAAATGCATAAGGTGGATGTAATAACAAGAATCCTGCATTCTAAATAAAGACCTCATGCTACCAGATTCTCACCTTTCCAGGCTTGCTTAAAAAGAACAAAGCACTCAACTATATGGACGGGATGGGGGATCCTTTTTATGAGTGGGTTTGTTTTAAAAAAACAACCCCTCCCCCAAACCAACCAACCAACCAAAACCCCAGACAGTTATCAAGCATATGCACTGACAGTCTTCGATAGTAGTAGCTAAAGCCAAATTGGAAAAGGAGTTGGTACCCTTACTGTCTTTGAGGACTAAATTTGAAATTCCAGCCAGAAGAAAATGAGGGCTTCTTAGGTTGTACAAGGGCTGGAGAGCAGTTTGTTGGCTACACAGCAAGTCATGTAATCCAGGGGAAAGGTTGACCATCTGTACAAATAGACGAGGAAGCCTAACTCTACACTGGGGAGTCAAAACACTTCTTGAATATGATATTGGGGAACTCAAGAAATTACTTCTGCCTCCTCCGCTACTGCAGTGTGGCAGCCTATTGCAATTGTGGTTCTTCATTGTGCCTTACATTGAATTTCATACAAAACATGTTTTTATCCTCGTTTGGGTAGATCACAGGCACAGTGACTAAAATACTTGCTCTTCAAAATACCTGTTTAATTTTGGTCTTGGATATAGTCGAAGGGCTGAGATGACCACTTTGCAGCTTAGCCATATCAGGAGCTTGTATTTGTTCAGACAACCTATTAGCCCAAAGAGTGAGTTAGTAGAAGCAGTTGCATCTTTTAGGGCTTCCCTGATGCCTTTCCTTGAAAGGACAGAGGGTCTGTTTCCTCCCACAAGAAAACAAATCTGGATCTCCCCTCCCTGAACAGAAGGGTCCTGCTGCCAGCTGAAAGGAAGCACACGCCAGCTGTGCAAATCTGTCCGTACAATGCTGCCAGCAATTTCTTTCCCTTCCAGCCCGCAGGGTTGTCTGATGCCACACACTCCCTCTGCATGCCCATTTCTAATTTAGGTCTCTTGTGCTTGAGGAATGTAAAGCGAACTTTCATGTGCCAGCTCCGTTGTAATGTTGGTGGTGCTTAAGAATGCAGCACTGCAGTATTTTAGTATCAACATTGTGACCAGAGTGATGCAACATGTAACTTTTGTTTCTGTAGCATGATTATTGGAAGTCTGGGTTTGTATGCTGGACACCCAGGGACCTGTTCTTCTGGGATGCTGTTGGGATTGATTGATCGCATGCCTGTGCTGTGAGAGTTGTACATTTGGAAGGGTTCCCTCCTGGTGACTTTCTTAGCACAGCCTCATTTAAGGGCAAAGAAGTTTCATCTTGGAAATAAAGCTTGTGTTGCTGTAGTATTGCTTTATCTCTTGTTAAAGCACAATAAATGAGAATTTACATTACCAGCTGCTGGCCTCCAATGGTGAGAAAGCTGCTGTGAGACTACAACTTCATGTTAGGCATAAAGAGCAGCAGTTTAATGGTGTAGTCCCTGCAATTACCAGTGAGACGCGCTCCCTGGACATTGCTAATGGTTGAAGCAAGTAGTGAAGTGCTTGTGCTGTTCCAACTACTTGTTCTTAGTGAGTTGTTAGTGTCGAGTCCCCTCAGACCTGATCTTTCTTGAACAGAGTCTTCTCCATTATTTTTCAAGAGTTTTTTGTCCTGGATGTATGCTTTCGCATTCAGCTGGTGAGGCTTCCTTCGTGAAGCAATACTGCTTGTAGTGTGTGATGGTATCTCAACATGTCTCTGCTGATCTCTGAACTTTGCTTTATGAATGTAAAATAGGTTCAAATAAGGCTAATCAAAGTCTCTCTCAGGCAGCTGTCTATGCTGTCAGCTGGATGTTGCATTGCAATTTTTTTTTTTTTTTTTCTTGAGAGTGTTGGTGCTTTTTATTCTGATGTCTCTGTCAACCTACTTAACGGGGCACAAAGGAACAGTCCTTTTTCTTCATTACTTCTGGCTGCTAAACTGAAGAAAAGAGACAGTAACTCTTTCTCACAGATATTACCTATTTTTGTAATACTACTTTCTGGCATTAGATCCTTGCTGAAATTTCTAGGATTATTGCCCTTTCCTGTTGCAAGTCCCAAGGACTTCCAGCTTTTGTTAGTCTAGCAGCTAGAATGGCAAACAGAAAATCAGCTTTACTGCCAACACATCCTTTCTGTTTCTCATTGATCTAGTCTCCTTGGTTACTTGACTTATTTCCCAGTCTCCATCTAAACTATTGATTTAACATTGCCTATCTCTGTTCTTTTGTCTGCCATACCTTAATCTTGAATTCTTACATTTCCTCCTGTGCTGTGTTTTGCATGCTGAAGATGATTCTCGCTGGTGGTAGGAAGGATCTCTAGGTGTGTGGGTGCTGGTGTGGAGCCTGTGAGTAGTTTGTCCAGGCTTGTCGGTGGCTCAGTGATTATCTGAACACATAAATGATGCTGTTAACGTTATTTGCAACTTCCAGTGTATGGAAACTGGATCTTCCAGAAAGATTGAACTGCACTTTGGTAAAAGCACACAGAAGTAAATGTTAGTGTCTGCACTACTTCATGAGGAAGTGCTGCATGTGTGAGCCTTGACTCTGTCCACACTCTGTCCCTCTACTCGTGTGGTTCTTTTCTCTTATGGGTCTTAGGTTTCTTCTCAAGAACTGGTTTTCAGACACCACCTTCAGCTCAGTTATTCTATGTTACTGCTGCTGTGCCAAACCATGATGCTATGAATATGGGAGATGGGTGAGGTGTATCTTGACTATTTGATACACAGAATACCTCTTTTTGTGAATGCGTGGTGCTTATGCTGATGATGTTTACTGATAAATCTGAAGCTAGATGACAGAAGGAGACAGCCTAATTTCTGAAGTATAATAAATGTCAATTCTTTAATTAAACCTGTACAGTGTTGCTGTACAAGCACTCTTTAGACTTTCTGTAGTTAGAATAAAAGATGTAGAGGAGAAAAAGTGGTTTCTTGACCCTGAAAATTCCTTTGTATTAGGTTTTTGCTGCTAAAAAACTAGATTTAGTCTGAAGATGTTGATAATTTTATGCTTTGGTAGAAGCACATCTTTCTACTACTTGTAATCAAGAACTTTTCCAAAGGATGTATCAAAAGCTGCAGACCACATTCTGCTAGCTAGGAGGCTTAGAAATGAGGCTTTTAGGGATGCTGCAATTTTATTACTTTCTTGCATTTTAACAGCTGCCCTTGAAGAGGAAGAATTAGTATTTATGGGCTGTGCCTGTAGGTCTGTGTTGTGATGACATCCTGCTGTCTGGTTTTGTTTCTTTCAAGAGCCTCTTTAAACAAAACTATCAATCCCCTTCCTTTTTACCCTTCAGCAGTGTACTGATGTCTTTGTGTAGAGGCTCTACTCACTATAGGTGTTGCTAGTTAGTACTTCATGTTCCTGCTAACTGATGTGTTCAGTGTACTTTTGCTTAACATTTTGAAACGCAGCATCTCAATTTACGGTCGATGTTGCATCTCCAAAAATTCATTAGTAAATTTATAGTGTATACTCTTTAATTCTTGACAGGAAAAGGATTTCATGCAAGACTTCTGACTGTTTTGGTGTTCTCTCTTTAACTAGGTGTATGTGATACCTACTCTTTTGAACTTAATGGCAAGCAGACTCAATACTCAATTGTTAGTCTCTTAAGCAAGACTTACGGAGAGGAAAGCCTCTTAGTGTAATGGATTGTATAAGACTCAGTGAAACTCTAATATGGTTATAGAGAGTAGGGGTGAAGTGTCTGTTAGAGCTCACTGAATGAGCTGGAGCTTAAAGCTCACCACCAGTTGTTAAGATTTCTTGTCATGAAGTAAAAAAAAAAAAAAAAAAAAAGTGAGGTTTTTCTGAGCATGCTGTTTCGTTTGAACTGAAAGCTAGACACACATGCATGCCCAGCGGCACTTCTGGCTAAATGAACACGTTGATACTATTTACTTCTCTGTATGTTTAGCTCTTCTTGCTCTTGATATTGGATATTCCACTTCCAGGTGGTCCAACAACCATCAGGAACCATTGTAAAGCAAGTATCCACGCTCCCGCAACCTTCAACACTGACCCTACAGACATCTGCTGGGGAAAGGATGCCGCTGAATACACTTGTTCAAACTAACCAGTTTCCTGCAGGTAAAGTGGAATCTCTCTAATGGAGAAGGGAGAGGACTGCTGAGGTACAGAAATAAGTGCAGGCTGTTGGTAGATTTTAGGAATGTAAGAAGGTGGTTGTCTATTGGGAGCAACCAGCTCTGTGCAGTAAGTTGAACATCTTTACTGTCTGCTTGGAATTCTGATGAGAAACTCAGTGCCATGTCTACTTCTGGCATCTGTTAAAAGCATGTGAATCAAACAATTTGTACTTGCTGAAATACTGTGAGTAAGCTCCTTGCAGTGCACTTCCTTTAAACCATGACGCTTTTGAGAGTCGTTTCATGAGACTTTGCTTTTTCCTTCAACAGATCCAGGTTGACACATAAGATGAGTTTGTCTCAGCCAGCCAGTTTTCACTAAAACCTTTCACTGCTCAGCACAGAGGAGGATGTTTGCTGAGAGCGTGTACGGTTTTTGGTCATACAGAACATGTAGAGTGTAAGACTCCAGAGTGTCTGGTTTTCCAATGGACCTAGTTAGTTGCTATTGAGTCTGCAGTAGCCTTTGCTAGAAGTATGAACTGGTTAAACATTTGTCTTAGCATTTTGCTTTCTACTATGGCATGTTCTTTGTTTTGTTTTAGGTTCCATTCTGAAACAAATTACCCTGCCAGGAAATAAAATTTTGTCGCTTCAAGCATCTCCTGTTCAGAAAGCTAAAATAAAAGAGAATGGAGCAACATCCTTCAGGTAAAAATAAAGAATATCAGAAGTTTACTATAGGAAGGAACAAAAGGAACAGACAGCAAGCATAGAGGTGGGAATGGAGCCCAAATGAAAGCAACTTTCTTTAGAAACTTGTTTATGATAGGTGTTTTTCACTTTATAATACTAATTGGCAAGGGGGAACCTAAAAAATTTTGACGTCGTAGCAGATGTTAATTATTCTTAATGAAAGAAAACTGTCCTGATGAAGTTGGATTTTCATCAGTATTACAAGAGTGTAATGATATAAACAGTGTGCATCAGTAAGTATCAGTTTTTCACTTGTAGAGGACGCAGATTGATCTCTCCATCCTGTGAGTACTATTAACTAATGTAAAGCAAAGTTACCTTGTACTAAAAGCTCTCCATAGGGTTAAAGCAGATATAACCTCTGTTTTTTACAGATGGCCGGATAGCATTGAATTGTTTCTTGGACTGGCTGGTAACCTGTCTAAGGCTCTGTGCTGTATTTTGAAATTTTTTATTAGCTCCTCTGACAAGCTTGTTCCTGTATGTAGAGGTGAAAGTCTTTGACTACACCTCTTAATTATGACTTCTGGCATATTCTCTAGGCCTTTAAATTATAAGAGTGCTTACAGCTTTTAGTTCTGGTAACATTAACTTTCTGAAAGCAGAAATTATTTTTGTAGCTCTGAAATGTAATGTTAGAGCAGAGGTACAGGCTGCCATAAGCATTACTGGTCTTACGAGTTTAAAGCTAGCTTGAAGTTGCTCTTGCAGGGATAAAAGCAGATATGACACATTTGTCTTGTTGACCAGTTGACTTCTCATCTCTTGAAAGCTACAGCTTTGTGTGCACTGATACAGACAGAGAGCTGTTGTTGCTTACAGTAACATACAGTATACAATGAACACTTAAAACACTGGTAGCCAGAAGTTGAAATGAAAAGCTGATGTTAAAGCAATAGCTCTGTTCAGCTGTCTCAAGCTCATATGAAATATACTTCAGATTATAATTTGGGATGTAATTTTGGGTAATGATGTTTGGGAAAAAAATCACTTCATAAATAACAATTCTATTTAAAAAAACAACAAACAAATGAACTCCTACCAAAAAAATAGAAACAATTATTTTTTTTCTGTCATCTTCCAATTGGAGTGTATCAACTGTGTTACATGAAAAAGCTTGAATTCTTGAAGTTCCTTCCCTGAATCGTTAAATTCTTAGCACAGGAAAAACTCTGCTTCTACACTGTGGTCTGACATGGATTTCTCTTCTTGCTTTTGGATTATGATTTTCAGAGTATCTTAAGTCCATGACAATTCAGATTTGAAATCTCTAGCTCACCTTAAATTTTTCCAGTAAGTCTCTTGTTTCTGAAGAATTTGTCTTTGGATACACACCTGGTGCTTCTTTGCAATGCTATAACTAAACTTTCCAATTTTTAAAAACTACGTATGAGAATCCTGATATACCTGAACCTGGGCAGCATGTACCTGAACTTTTGGCTTCCCTCAGTCAAGTATCTGTGTTCTCTGAGCACGTCTGGCACCACATAGTGTTAATCTGGCCTGGGCAGTAGATGTTCCCCAGTAAGCTGTGAAGTGGTTTGCTCTCTTCTGTCCTGACTTTCAGTATTCCCAGCACAGCTATTCTTTGTGACCTGTGATCCATCAACTGCTGATCATGTGTGAGACAGAGAGAAGCACCGTGGCCCCCTTTCAGGTTTTGTGATGGGATTCATTATGGGCAGAGAGCATGTCTTGTAACTGATGTGATTATATATGTGACGCTTCAAGCTGTGTATTCTCCTTGCAGTATGTCATTGAGCCTGACTCTCTCTGCCATTGTGTCGGCTAGGTTAGGGTAGGATTCGAGAACGTAATACTCGCTAAGCTGTACTTAATAAACTGCAGTTTGACCTTGTCTGCTCTTTAATGGGCTGGTTTAGGTTGCCTGAGATGAACAGTAGAAAAAATGGTGATTCCCGCCCCCCCCCGCCGTTAAAAAAAATTTTCTAGAAATTATTTCAGCTCAACATGGGCATCACTAGCCCACTTGATTTTTCCCCATGGCGTGTATTGTAAAGGGAAGTCGGTTTTAAAAGCATCAAGATTTTTATAAGCTTCTCTACATACTTCTGTAAAGTATATGCTAGGGCACTCTGGAAAAAATAAGGCATATTTGCATCTTCAGATATTTGTTTTGCATCTATTCTGTTTAATAGAGTTGTTCGCCAAAGCACATACAACTCTGACTTGTGCATTTTGTCTGGAAGGTACTAGCAATCTCAACTAGCAGACAAACAGGAGTGAAACAGCAGAGTGGAGAACATCTGGGCAGCTGCTCCTCTGGCCCCATGGGGGTGGGGGTTGGTTCTCACTCTGCTGGAATTGTTCTGTCCCGTGTAGTTGTCCATGATGATGCATGGAGGTTTGGGTTACGTGTGCCTTTCTAGTTTTCCCTTTGGCTTGTATAAAATGCAGTAAAGATGGATTCAGATGGTGACATGTGCGTTGGTCAAACACCAGAGGGTGCCACAGACTCACTTTTCAGCCATTATAGGCACATTCATAGCTGTGAAGTGCATCTGCATTGCTTGGGCTTTTTTTTCCAGTAGAATATTCAGTACAAATAGCGAACCTGGCTTCATGCAGGGTAATGCTCAGAAAGAATTCTGTGTTCTGTTTTCCCCCTTGTCCTGATAAGATTAAATTACTGGAGACTTGTAACAGCTGGGAGAGTTTTTCTTGTTGATTTCTGGGTGTGACATGATCAAATGCAAAAAGCATTAAAGGAAGTGGTGTAGAAGAGGGGCATTACAGTGGGATTGCTGAAAATGAAAGCAAGTCAGTGTGCAACAGAAACATCTGCATGTATACTCTGGAATATTTTAAATCTATCATCTTAGTAGAATGAGAATAGCCTACTGGAAGTACATGATACCTTGCTTAAAATGATTGGGGTTTGTTTGAACAGCAAGGAAAAAAGAATAGTAGAAAGTACAAACTTAATGCAGCTTCTGAAACTTGCGTTAATCTTTAGTGAGCACTACTTCTGAGGAAATGTAACGCTAATTTCTTTGGGTTAAGTAAAATAAGTGCAGCAGTGTTTTCATAGGTGCAAATTAATCTTTCATCAAGGCTAGTGACTCAGTGACTTAATGCAAACTTATGTCCCACAGTGAAAAAGTTAGAATTGGTCCTTAAAAATAGCACAGGCAGAGATGTCTGTTTGCATATAAGCTCTTGTATGTGTGTATTCACAAGAGAGACTGCATGCATGGAAATATTAAAGAAGACAGTAGTCTGATAAAAGCTGGGTTTAGAGAACTGAGACTTGTGTACGTAGAAAGGTGGGTAGATGTATAGTATAGAAGTTTACCTCCTTCTTACTTGAGTATTTGGAGTATGCGGCCAGATTAAAAGCTAAAATGATTTGCTGAAACCACATGCTATGTACCTGAGGTAGAAGCATCCTTACTTGGATTCTCTAAACAGCTCCGTTGGGATGATGTCAGGTTCCAGCATCTGCAGATCTGATAGCTTGTGCTCTATCTCTTGGTGCTAGCTGTGCTGATTTTTGTGATCTCCTTTATCAGCAAATCCATGACAGTCACTGCACTTGAGGTGGGATTCTTGTCTCTGCCACCAGCTTCCCTGTAGGGGTCATTAAGAAGAGGAACCAGGAGTGTACTTGTGAAGATGAGTTAGCACTCAATTAGCACACAGTGAAGCTTCATTTACACTCTTCTGGAAAGATCAGGGTCTCTGTTAGGCTGATAAAGCATGAGTATACACTTGGAACTGCTCAGTGGCTGGTTGTGAAGGGGTAGGAGGAGGGAAGCTGTTCTGGCAGCAGTGACTTAAGCTTTGAATCCTGTGATCACTTAACCATTCTGACAATCCCAGGGTTTTAACACTTTTCTTAGCACGATGGATTTGGGGCACAAGCCTAGTCAGGAAGCTATGTCTAGTTAGACCTAATGAATGAAGCTGGTTTGAGAATCTGTGGGGTCTCCTTTTCCCTGAACAAATCATGTAGAAACTCCTAGCCATGGGGGCTCACAAACAAATGGCAGGAGAAGTAGGGGAAGGCTGGACTCCTTTCCTAGCCTGGCTTCTCTTTAGAAGTTTGTGGGAGAAGTCTTGCACCATAGAAACCTATTGAAGCCCAAAGGAGAAAATGCATCTATAGTTTAAGAAGAAATCCCGACTCTTTCTTGTGTTTTTTGAGCATTGCTCAAACCCAACCCACATTCTAATAACTTCAGCTTTTACCTGTTGCCAGTCAGAAGACGGCCTCCAAGAGATCCCATTTCACCTAACAATGGCAAGTTTTTGACAAACCCCTTGTTCAAGAGTTATTTAGGTCACACAGTATTTTCTGAAGATTAACTTCATCAAACCTTCCCTGTAAATACTTTTCAGGAGGGGGGTGTGTCTGGTTTGGGGATTTTTGTTTTCTTTTGTTTTCCAGATCAAAAGACCTTCAGACTGAGTGCTTCCACTTGTCTGTATTAATAGTGCTGACTTGCATTCTGGTTCTTTACACTTGAAGCCACCATTAGGGCCTTTGTCACTTTGTGAAGCAAAAAAGCCTTTCTTTTGATGATCTAAACTTAATTGAAAATAACTTGCGTATTTTCATTGCTAGAGTCTTGCAAAAACCTTTCCCATATAAAATTCATTCAGTATTTTAACAAAATTATCTTTCTTTTTTCAAAGCTGAGGCACACAGGCTATTTGCTTAACATGAGCTTTGCCATGATTATAGCTAGTCTTAGTTATGTTAGCCCTAGGTACAACAGACTTCAGTTTTTATTTTGAACATGTAGACCAAAGCTGCTACAGCAGAATCCAGCTAACAGAGGGATGTTAAAAACTAGAGTTCTGCCTCTGTTCCTCAGAAGCATAGCATCCTCCCCGCTACATACATAAGTACTGTATGGTAGGACTGATTCAAAGGGCAAGGTCTGGCTGGTTCTGGGTACTACTGACAAGGAGAGTTTGTATCTTATTTTTTAAGGGAACTCACTAAAATAAAAGTGAAGATCAGGTTTGTGCTAATATGCTTGTGCTGTAAGCTTCAGTTTGTAGGATAGGCATCTCAGAAAATGGGCCTGTTTGAAAGTTCAATGAGTCAGTATTCAGCTTTATTCAACACTTGGTTCTACCTGGTGAATTGGAGTTTTAGAACAAATTTCAGGCTGTAAGAGCAGTGGTGCAGGGTGGGGGGCTTTTAGGGACTTTTAATCCAGGTTTACCTCAGTCCTTGGTTTCCGAGCTTGCTCAGGATTTCAGTTTCATGTAAAGGATTTGCATGCCTAGCAACTGAGGCGTTAGTGAAGCTAACATTTGAGAGGCACTTGACTGAAATGTGAAAGCTTTTAGGAGCTGTCTGCCCTTGTCCACGCCCACACTAAACATCTATTGTATAGGGGTAGCCTCCAAGATACGGGAGTGTGGCTGTTTGTTGATAGTCGAGAGGCTTTTTCTTTGTATGCATTCTGAACGAAGTATAAAATGTTGGTTTTCTCTTTAGTAGAGATGAAGATGACATAAATGATGTGACTTCAATGGCTGGAGTCAGTCTTAACGAGGAGAACGCGTGCATTTTGGCAACAAACTCTGAGCTCATTGGTACAGTGATCCGTTCTTGTGCAGATGAACCTTTTCTCTCCTCGGGAGCGCTTCAGAAGATGATCTTGAACATAGGTGAGAACAAAGCATATGTAACAGAGATGTAGGAATGTAATATTTCCTTGCCTGTTTCATCAGCCAGCCTCCAATCTTTGAAGAAGGAGCTGGAACTATAAAGATCTGCCATCTCAATTCATGTGTTTCTACCAAACTATACTGAGTTTTTACTTCCTCTTCTAGGAAACAACTAAGGTTTTTGGGGGTTTTTTTGTCTGTTATTTACATGGAAGTAGTCTGAAGCACAACCAGAAAAAAGAAATTGGTGCCACTTTTACATGTGAGAATGGATTGACTATATTACTCTTAATGGAACACATAACAACCATATAGATGCTAGTGTCAAATCAAACACTTAAGCGTGCTTTTCTATTTCTGCAGCTCCTAACTTGATGCATTACGCTGACTTTCCTAACAGCTTTTGCATTCCTCAGCCTGTTCAGATATATGTACTCTATTGACAAACATTACAGATACCGCCCATGTGATTAGGAATAAGTTTCAAACTGCCAATATGCATGGGGCAGACCTTTGTTTATGAGTCCCGCTATGGAAAAATCTTTCATTAATTTTATGCGAAAGAGATGTTAAAGCTGTTTGTATCTATGAATAATACTGTGGAACGTATGTTGAATGGCTAAGACTCAACTGTAACAGGAAGTTTTTTAGTGTATGTATCATCTCAGCTGTTGGTTTCTGAGCAAAATAATAACTGTTGCTTAGCAATGTTGTATTCCATCAGAGCAGGGAGCATGCATTTGTGTAGCACCACACTGACTGGTACCACTGCTGTCTACAGCAAGCTGGGTGGGTGAATGTTGCTCAACTCCTTGCTCCTGCTGTCTGCCTGGTAGCTTGCCATACTGGAACAGTGAGTTTTACAGCTGAGCATTCAGGAAAGCTTGCAGTTCCTACATGCAGTCATAATTCTGTCACAGTGGTTTAACTACATGATTGCAAAGTCTTTCTGCATGCAACTTGTTCCTAGTCTAAACTAAGCAGCTAGCCTGTGACAAGCATGTAACCTGCAAATGCTATCTGCTACCGCAGTACATCCCGCACTGGTTAGCCAGATGCCCCATCTGAGCTGTATGGGGCATAGCTGAGTGAAGTAAGTGCTGTGCTACTAGTTGAAAAGGGAAAGTATACACTGAAACTGGTGCCTAGAAGCTTTTCTCAAAATTCAGTAGAGGATTAACCAGTCATCCATGGGAAGTAGATATAAGGAAAGATAAAGACTGCTACAAAAACATAAACAGAAAGTACTTTTAGATAATTGTCTGGTTTGGAGTGTGAAGACAGTTCATTGAAAGATGGAAAATACAAGCCTGGCTGTTTCATGGCTGGCATGGTAGCTGCTCCATCAGTCATCATCATAACAACAATAATAATTATTTTATTTAAATATTTATTCAATCCTTATTTAATTATTTATTAAAACCTTATATTTTATTCTTATAATATATTTTATTATTATTAATGTCAAAAATGAAAAGTGCTTTGATTGCAAGGAGAGGAATACTGTCAGGGAGTACAGCAATTCAGAAAATGACTGAGCTGACTTTGGTTTAGGAAGTGTGTGTGTGTGTGGAGGGAGGTCTGGAGGTTTGGGGGCATTTTGTTTTGTCTTTAAGTTGATGTTTCAGTATTCTGATCGGAATACTGCTGAGCAAGTGTTGAAAGGTGCTTGAGCAAAATGAGTTGCACTCAGCTAAGGTACAGGTCAATGCTTACTGTCCGAGATCAAATAGTGGGAATACTTGGATCGTATCTGGGAAAACATTGTAGATTCTGCCTGTCTTGTGAGATTCTTACTCATTTTCAGTTAGAGTAGCAAAGGCAAATGAAATAGGTGATTAGATTTTTTTACAGTGTACTGTTTATCCATTCTTAACACTACACTTGGCAATAAATACTGAAATGGGTTTTGAAGGCGTGCTGTATATTGCACCATAAAGTATTACAGCTGCTGTAAATGCAGTGAGGGGCAAGGAAGAGCGCTTCTGATGGGTACGGCATTTGAAGCGTGTGAAACTGCTGCCTGCCATGCCTACCAGGGAAAAGTTGCTGACATCCAGGTGTCTAGGCGGAGTTGCGTCGAGTGATCGATGGTGTCAACCACGGGAAGGCTTCTCTGTCGGCAGCCTGCAGCCGCAGGAAGGTTGCGGAGGTGATGCCCAGCTCTGGGCACGGGGCTGGGACAGCTCTGCCCAGAGCTGTCGGCAGCCTCGGTCGCAGCTGCTGAAACGCAGAGAGGCAGCGGCAGCCCGAGAGAAAAGGTTGAAGGTGGTGGCACGATGACCCCGGCTGGACTTGATCTGTGGTGTCCGAGCTGCTGCCGTGGGATGGCTGGGTCTGTCCGCCCCGTGCCTGGCAGCCGAGGCAGGTGAGAGGGTCCCGTGCGCCTGGAGTGCGCTGCAAAAGCTATCCCCGCTCATCGAATAAATGTCATGAGTTGTTAACAAGTATGGTGTCAAGCAGGGCAAAATGTAATTCTCTATTTTTTTTAATTACTGGAATTAACAGAATATGGCACTAATTTTTACAGCTACCGCTTCTCCCCCTCCCCGAACATGAAGCTTGATTTGTGTTCTTATTAACTTTGTCCTATAAATGACCTTGCAAGGAGAGCGGTTCTGGAGGCTAAGTGAAACAATGTCTATATTTTCTGAAGCTCCAGGCTAAGTTTTATTAATGTAATGTCTAAAATCTTTGAAGTTGTGACTTTACCAGGAAAATCATAATCTCCAAACCTTTATTCATAATGGGTATGACTTCCAGGGGGAACAGAATACCTGCTGTGCTAATTATTTCAATTATCAGCTACTACTAAAACACGTAATGGATTTTCTCTGCTTCCACAGGTAAAAGGCATGACATTATGGAACTTAACTCTGATGTTGTGAACTTGATCTCCCACGCTACACAGGAGAGATTACGAGGGCTCCTAGAAAAACTAACTGTAATTGCTCAGCACAGAGTATCAACCCACAAGGTAAAGGAAATCATTAAGCAAGTTTTGCACTTAAGTTTTCCTGCTTTGCAGCCTTGCAGGTACACCTCTTCCAAGTATAGGCACATCATATGCAATACATGCATTTTCAGTATCTACCAAAGGGTGGTTTTGTTTTAACTGTTTATAGCCTCTAACTATTCCTTACATTTTCCATTCGACTCATTGGATAGGTGCTCTTAAAACCTAGCATAAGAGTAAATGCATGCATTTCTTCTCTTCCACAGAAGTGGTGCCTCTTCTACAAAATCTGTCTTGCATGGTAAACGTAAAGCTATTTTTGAATACTCTTGGTGGTTGGGTTGATTTAGGGCCTTGTGTTTGCTTTATGCATTTACTGTTGGTGGAACTGAAGTACTAGCTTAGTAAAAAGCCTTGGGAAACTGAATTGAGTATTTTATTTTTAGAAGTGCTCCATGTGAAGGCAGAGACCCCTTTGATCTTAAAGGTTCTGGAACGTTTTTTCTGCCAGTGCTAGTTAAGATTCCCTCCCCTCCCTCTTGTGTTAGCTTCATTCAGTATAAAGTGTATTGGGTTCCAGTGAGCCAGTATCCCTTAAGATGCTTGTACAGTACAAATAGGAAGCTTTGAGACTTTTTTTTTGTCATTAAATAATAAGATATAAGTCCTTACATTTTTCAGTCCCAAGCTGTTTTAGAAAAAAATTTGAAGTTAGAAGCAGATGTATCTGTCAACTCTTAAGTTCTTGTTTGTTTGTTTGGGTTTTTTTACAGGACCTTTATACTTAATGAAATTTAACAAGACCAGCTGACTGATGGGATAGGAGTTATTTTTGTACTGAACACTTTTTATAGGCTTTTAAGCACTGGAGAAGCAATAGTAAAGAGCAGGAACTATTTGGAAACTTCCAAGTATTTATAGTGATGTCTGGAGCAGTTGGAGTATGCTGTTCCTTGCCAGAAGAGGATGCAGTAGAAAAAAAATCAATACAGAAAAAGTAGAGTTTTTTATGAGAAGTCTTTAGAAATCTACACATGTTCTGTGTTGTCTCTCCAAAGTGGGAGATCCAATATTGCTTGTGAGCAAAAGTGAGGTGGAAGCTGAAGTCCTGAGTAACCAGTAGATCTTAAGTGTCTTGCAGATGCTAAGGACACAGTGGGCTTGATGGGGCTGGTTTCTTTCTCATTGAACTAAAGCAATAGAAAAACTGATAGGTTTTTGTCTGATTGAATTGCCAGAAGCAAAGTTAAGATTGTAAAACTACAATAAGCTTGATTTCTTTTCCTCTTTTCTCAAAAACAAAACAAACAAACAAAAAAGTAATGGGCATAATAATCCTGGAGGCACAGGTACCCTCTTTCTTTAGGAAGATGGTATTACGCTACAGAGGAGTGTCCTACAGGATTGTGTTTGTGAGTAATATTATGGTGAGAGATGCTAACAGGCTTTTAGAAATCTAAGTTCAAGAACAGAACACTACAGGGTTTTGGAGCCCTATTATGTATTTACACAGTCCTGTATTCCATCTACCCCAGAGCTTGCCCCATCCTCTTTTGCCTCTAGGCTATTGATAGGTACCAGTGTGCAATGTGGGCTCCATCTATTTCAGAGAATTACCCCAAAACTCTCCAAGAGAATTGGGTAGTTGCCCTGTAAGTCTTTGTATTGGCCTATCTTAATTACAAAAAGATGGACAGTAATAGGGATAGGTGTGGTGAAACCAAGGTAACTATTGTTAGGGTAGAAGTTGGTGTAAAAAGCCAATCATTCATGGGATTGTGCTCAGGAAACTCTTCTTCCCAGTTTGCTCAGCTCATGCCTAGCAGCTTACATCTGATGGTAGCCCTGCAGAGAGAGAGTTGGCAAGGTAAAAGCTTCATACCATGCCACCATGTAGACTTGCCAACTTTTGCCCTTTTTTGCTAAATTTAAGAAAGAAAGAAAGAAAAAAAAAAGGTATATAATTGGAAGTTCCTAACTTAATTAGGATAAAACTATCATGGTGGTCTCTATCTGAAGTAGGAATAGCCTTTCAGATTGTTGTAAGCTGCTCTGTGCTGCAACTCTTGTTGCAGTGCCTTTATAGAGCCTTGGTAAGATCATAAAGGCGATTAGCTAGCTGGTTTAGTTCCTCGGCTGCTTCCCTCCTATAATCCGGAGAACTGCAGAGGTATAAGAGTATGCATGTGACATAATATGATACCCAAGACCAAAATTAATAATGACAACTAAACAGTACAATGATTAAAAAGTGTTTTTGATGTGGGTGGATTCAGCTAAGCATGATCGGACTGCCACTCTCCTGTGTTTGGAGCCCATGAGCACATGGCTTCGAGAGGCATGGTACAGTGCTGTGCTATAAACATTGCTCCATGAAAACAGCTTCCCCATGTGCAGTAGCAGTAAAACACTGCAGCCCTAAACTGCACTATCTGTAGGGCAATATGGTGTGGCTGCTGCATTGGTTTAAGGGTTAAGCGCTAAATGTAGTGAAGGAATGAGCGCTCCTAGATGTGAAAATAGCCAGCCTCCTCCTCCCCATCCCAGCCACCATCAAGCTGCAGAGTGCAGAACTAACTTATCGGAAGCCTTTCTGTTATTAACTTGGTTTAGGAGTTGACTATGAAAAGCCAAAGCTTAATAGGTTCCCACATAGTAGCTGAGCCTCTGCAACTGCCGTCCTCAGCAAGGCTGTTCAGCATGACTTAAACTGTTCAGCTTCTGTGGGAGAACTGGTCTTTGTGGGATTCTTCCAACTTCTTCCCTGGTGGACTGAAGTGGGGCGCAGCTTCCCTGTGTGTGGGTTTTTCCTTTTTGCCCCTGGACATACAATACGTTCCTGGTGCTAAACCGCAAGTGTCTTAGTCAGGTTTCAGGTTCACTTACAGGTAGGCGACAGTCTAGGAAGGAAGTTGCAAATCACAGACAAGGCATTGTCTCTGTTCTTGAATTTGTTGCCAGCTCTCGTCTCATTAAAGACATACCTGGGAATGCTTTACTTCAATGCTGTGTGTTTCAAATATATGTAAACCTAACGTAAAAATTTTGGTAGGAATTGGCTGTGCTTTAACAACACATCGGTGGAGAAGTCTTGAGTGTATGCATTTCTCTTGAAGAAAAAAAAAGTATGGGGGATGAGTTTATAACAAGATTGTATAGGTGTGCTAATGTGCTATTGTTGTGTGAAAGCAATAGTTTCTTTCAGGATAGCAGAAAAACTTCCTTTTGCTTTTGGTGAACTCCAGATTAAATTTAGCTCAGTCAGAGTAAGAATGACTTTTTAACTGTCAGATACACAAGTTCAGCTTTGGCACATCCATATCTAACCATTGCTCTGTATTGTGGTTACGGGCTTTATCTATCAGTAACTTAAATTCTGGCCTCGATTACACTTGTAACTTTAGTTTTGTTGGGACTGCACTGTTGTAGCAGGGGACAGGTTTTGGCTTTGTGTGAGTAAGTTAAACTGTTACATGACAAACACTGGATCCAACTTGCTTCATCATAACAGTAATGTCCAGAAGTTATTAACAGGTATACAGTATGATGTTTTCTGTCTCAGCAATTCAGTGGTGAATGATCACAGAAGACAAGTTTATTGAGCAGGACAAAATGTAACTGCAGGTATTCGTCTTCCAAAAATTCCTGAAATAAGGCATCTTAAAACAGTTGTTGATGAGCTGAAATACTATTATGGATCCACCCATTTCTTATTCCATATAAGCTCATGGTAGTGTATTGGGGTGCTTCTGGTTGAGAGGCTTGCATTCCTAATTGGCATAGGGTCTTGGATTTGGCTTCAAAAATCTAAGTATCTGATTCTGACTTTGGGCATTCCAAAGCAAAACATTATTCTAAACTTTGGAAAAAATAATCTTCTGGTATTAGGGTTTTCTTCTTTGTCCCTTTAAAAGGATTGTGGCATGGTGTTGGATTATTATCAACTGCTGCTTCAAAACAAATTGTACTAATGGACTGAGACTGACTGAAAGTAGTGTATATTTTGTGGCAAGCAGTAAAAAAAATCTCAAGCAGTAACAGAAGAGAGGGGAAAGGTTTGTTGGACTTTTTTGCAGAGCCACAGACTCTGCCTGGGAAAGAAATTTTCCTTGGTTGCAACACATGGTGTGGTCTGAGCCACAATTGGTGGTACGTGACAATGTGGTAGCTCACTGAAAAGGACCGAACTTAATACAGGAAGAGGGATTGATTTCATGTTCTGGCTGGGTTGTGAGAATTCAGATTGGGAGACAACAGTGCCCCACAAGACGACTTTTACTTTCCTTCCAGCTCTGAAAAGGATATGACTGGGTATGGGAAGAAATCTTAAGTATAGTGTGTTTGAAAACTAAAAATTTAGCAACTGAAGTCACTGATAGTCCATATACTTAAAATATACCCTCGCGTAAAATACAGCTGTAAAATATGCTGTGCTTATTCCAGAATAGTTGTGTGTCAAGGTTGCTTCATTAAAGTATGAGATTGGGGTAGGGTAGAAAGAAGGGTTGCTGAAAGTATATAATGTGTTTGGCTGGTAAAAGCTCAAGGATAAATTTCTCAGGAAAAGGCGAGTTCACAAGGTAACACAGAAAGAAGACAAGTCTAGGACATGCATTAAAGAGTGGTGTAAACAAGTGGCACAGACATTCCTCATCTACAATGGGCTCTCGGCCTTGTTTTGCCTAATGCCCTCTGGCCAACACATGCCTTAAATAGCCTGTCTTTGGAAGAGCAGAATAGTAAAAACTAGCTTTTTATTGCCTGTTGACCACATTTTAGATCTTTCCTTTCTGTCTTCTCTCCTATCTGAAGTAAAACTAAACTCAGGCTTTCCAGTGAGGGCAAAAACAGTCTGAAAAATAAATTACTGATCGTTATTTTTTAGTCTGAAAGGACCGTAGCCTTGTTTCAATGCATGCGTGTCCAGTTATTTTTGGAAGTATTCATTAGTATTCACTGGCCCAGCTTTGCACAGGGGGCTTGACCAGATGACTTCCACAGGTCACCTTTCAACATAAACTATTCTATGACTTGAGAGCATCCACTGAGGCAAAAATAAGTGTTCCTAAAGCTATAATAAACCATATATAATTTATGTCACTTTCCACACCCCCAAGATTCATTATAACTAGTTCTAAACCACCCCTCCACTCCATAAAAGCTCCTTTTGGAAATACCAGGTGAGGCTTATTTCAAGTTCTGGATCAAATGGATGAAACTAGAACACCGAACACTAGAAACTTAAAATGTCAAATTTTATTTTTTCTTTACCCTTTCTCTTTAAAGGGGAAAGGATATGATGTTCTGTTGCTTTACAATTCTTTTTTAACTCTTAACCAGTCCAGAAGACAGTCTTGTATGTATGTTTACTGGATATGAAGTTGCTGTTTAAAACAAAGTTTTCAGCCTTTAGACTTAAAGACTTTATTGTTGTTATAGTCAATAAAGACTAGATGTTGTTAGTGTCACTTGTTCAATAACCTCTTACTAGTCACAGATGCCAGGAAACATGCTTCAGTGGAGAGGAGGTGTGTAAATGACTACCTCCCACCTGAAGTATTTTCAAAACAGCCTATACTTTTCAGCTTTGAAAAAATAATGTTCTTCTTTTCAGGTTGTTCCCATTGGGTTTGTTAGGTCTAGTGGTGTGTATAAAAGTCTGGTTGTCTGTAACAAACTTCTCTTTCCAGGGGAGTGATAGGTATATCGTATCTAGTGACACCAGAGCACAGCTGAGGTTTCTTGAAAAGCTTGATCACCTAGAAAAGCAGAGAAAGGATGAAGAGGAACGGGAAATGTTGCTTCGAGCAGCCAAGGTAAGAACTTAACTTCTTGTTCTCCAAGGAAGTAGTGGTATCCTTTAGACTGGTGAACATCTTCAGGTTTCTCCTATTTCTGCTTTAAGTTTAGTAACCATTAATCCTGTAACTGGAAATCCGTAATGTTTAGGATAGCTTAGGCTATACAGAAAAGGATTTTGGCCTTTTACATTCTTTAAAAGAATCACAGGAGTTCTTTCAAATGTGTGGTGGGGTGAACTCTTCTTTTGAGATTATTCCTACTGGTCAAAATGAAATAAAAGATGTATTCACATAGCTGTGAACGTCTTTCCTGGCTCTATTTCTGGCTCTGAAATTGGTATGTCTGTCTTCATATCTGTGTATGGCACTGCTTGAAAATACGGGTTCACTATGCTTGTTCAGGCTGGAGCCTGGTGAGATCCACTGGCCTGCCAGATGTATTTGTTTTCTGTAGTCAGATCAGAGGGCTAGTCTTGGAGGTGGTACCCTAGCATCTGCAAACCCCTGATGGGAGCCACTGCCAGTACAGAATAAGTACCCTTCTTCTGCTTTCCCTCCCCTCAAGAACAGGAGCAAGAAAAAATAAAGATCAGTAGACGTTGCTCCATCAGGTGTAACTTGATAATCTTCTGTTTGTTGGGGGTTTTTTTGGTTTTGTTTCAAGCTGAATTCTGGAGCCCCTTGGGTGGAAGCCTAATCTAGAGTTGAAAGAATTGTGTTGTACTTGCATGAGTACGACTCCCTTTCTTTCTTATAGTTCCTGTCCTTTTTAAGTGTCTGCTGCTGACATGAACAACATCATGCCTAGACTGGACCTGACTGACAGTGTTAGCATCATTTTCAGCTTAATCTTGCTTCAGGCTAGAGCAGAGGCAGCCGGCCCAGATGAGGAGGGGGGTGCACGTATGTGTGTGGAGGGGGAGGGAAGCCAGTCTGGATTGAGGCATTCACCCCTGGGGCTAAATCTTTCAATCATCAGAGAAAATTGTCATTTATTAAATATTTAACGGATACGATGGTGTTTGGATGCCAGGAATTTCTATTCAATCTTTTTCCTCTTCCTTTGGTAGAGCCGTTCCAATAAAGAAGATCCAGAGCAACTGCGGTTAAAGCAGAAAGCGAAAGAGGTAGGACTTTCCAGTTACCATGCTTGCCTTTGTGTGTTGAGAGAAGGTTGGCAGCCCTGTCCTGGCAATTAGGTCAGGGTTTATTTTGCTGCTGCATACCATTTGCAGAGGCCTTGGGGAAGGACAGGAACTGCCACAGGCAAGGGCAGCGCTTCAAATGAGGTCAATGAATTATGAGCTCTCTTTTTTAACATTTTATTTTCGTAGTTTCAGTCCTGTCTAGAAATGGTCCTTTGTAAACTGCAGCAGTACACTTGGTAGGAATATAATGTGGGATTAGAAAAAAAAAAAAAAAAAGAAACTTTGAGATTTAGCATCTGGGACTGTACAATAGGCTACATTTTTCCAGGGTAATTGTTCGTTTTGTAAATCTGATACTGCTTATAATTCTTTGGCTGGGAGGCGGTACTGGGATTTAGTTTTAAATGGAAAACGCCTCTGGCTTTTAATTTTCTGGGCCCAGCAGTTTTCTGTTCTGGAATGGAGCCCTTGTTTCACACAGTTCATGTTTAGCTGCAGGGGTTTTAGTTTATAGCTTAGACTGGTTAAGCTTTTACTCCCAGAGGCCTCTGCATAGCAACTGTAGAAATCAACAAATAAGTTCATTTATGTCTGCAGCCTCCTCTCAGTAGCTGACTTTTTACATTTCCCAATATCCATTTCCTGACTTTTCTAGCCTGAGAGAAAAAAGCTCCACTAATTGGAGCTTATTTTAATTGAGCCTTAATATTGGATCTCACTGGAGTTGCCCCCAGAGCTACTGGGAACAGAATGAAATGAAAGTACCTAAGGTTGAAGATGTGTGTGCGTGTGTATGTGTGTGTGAAATTTTTCACTTGACCTACAGATTCTTTTCCCTGCTGAATAAATCATCAAGCCTGTTCACATTTCTGATTAAGGATCTGACAGCGGATGATAATAAAGACAATTGAGGTGTGAGACGTGTGATACAGAGCTGAAGAAATTGGTTTCTATAGTTACTTGACTGATTTCATGCAATTTTTAAGGATCTTTGTGCTAAATGAGAGTGATTTTCTGAGCAACCTTTTTCCTTAACTGTGCCTCTTGAACTATGAAATTTGTTGTTGCTTAACATTGCTGCACTTGGCTCCTAGGTGCCAGCAGCAGCAGCAGGTTATTTATGAATGCTTTAAAGGCCCTTATTGTTTGGATTAATGTAGGAGCCCAGGCAAAACAAATGGAAATCCAGTAAAATAGTATTAGAATCAATGCTCTGGATTTGCACCATAGTAGAAGAAATTTGTAAAAGGAGAGGAGAGAGAGAAGGAACTTGCTTTAGTATCTGTCTTTTAATTCTTTCTTTCTGCTTATCACTCTTTCTTCGTGCTTACAGTCTGTGAGTACAAAGTTGCCCTAAAGCCCTTCCCAGTTTGCCTCTAGTGCCACCAGGATCAACAGTCAGTGGGTGATGCTAATTTGTCTTGTTTTGTAGGTGGCTTTACCTCTGCATCATCTGGTTGTTTCTAGAGGTTCTTTCTTTTAATAAAACACTGCAAAGCAATTCATTTATCCAACTTCTTTTCTCTTTTCCTCTGAACAATAAGGTGTAGGATCTTGAAAAATATTCCGTGATTTGGATATTTAGAACAGAAAGAAGTTATATGTGTGTGTTTTGCGTCACTTTTTAGATTAGTTGGTATTGTTAATGAGATCTCTGTTAAAAAGTGGAATATTGATGTACAAAAAAGGAGCCAACAGAGTGGAGAAGGTGTCTGAGTTTAGTACTTAATGTTCTGTTAAGTGCTTGAGTTCACATCCTTCAGTGCATCTTATGTTGTGCCAGACTAACAGCCTTCATCACACTTGTCCTGCTTATTTCTCCATGCTGTGCTGCTCCCATAGTGATGGTCTCTAACTGCTTCACCAAAAGAAGAGGCAGATGTGCTTCTTGGGACAACCCGTATCTCTCTGTTGGTATTGCCTTGCCCTCTGTTCTGCTGCTTTGTTCTCTAGAAAATGAGGCAGCCAGAACTTCTCCAGGCTTCACATGCCACATGGGAAACCCACCTTCTGTGCCGGGGGTGCTTTCTTATCTCAAGCTTGAGTAGAAATGAGCCCAAATACAGCCCTGGTCAGTTTTGGCACTTTATTGACAGTTTGGAGATAAATGGTCAGCACACATTTGCATTAAAAAATACAAACATGAGTAGAGCTGGAATAAGAGCAAAACAAAAATCAACAAATATCCCAAGGCTGAAAGTGGTAATGCAGAAGCACTGTGTATACTGGGATGAAAGCCTGAAAAGGGTCACCATTGTCTGTCTGTCTTGTCATTTTGTGAGTGTAGTATGCTCTAAGAAACCACACTTGGGAATTTTGATACCTCTGCCAGCTGGAATCGGATCCTTTCCAGGCCACTCTGGTTGAGTATCCACTGGAAAGCCTGATCTGATCCACTTAAAGTTCTTTAAGAATGAATATGGGCCTTCCTTCCTCAAAGCTGTCTTTTATGTGTTGATGGTGACCCCTGGGAGAAGGGAGAGGGTGTTGGGTAATGGCACTGGAGCAAGTTCTAAAGCAATGTTTCCCAAAATGCAGAGTGTACATCCTAACAATGAATTCTCATAAATCCAGGATGTGCTGTCATCCAGCAGCTGGAGGCAACATCTTAACATTGCTGGAAGTACATCCAGAGACTCAGCAGTAGATGCTTTTATCCAAAAGGCTATACATAATTGCTGTGACCTTTTAATCCCTTTTTGCATGACCTATTGCCTCAAACTTCCCCTATGCTAAGTCATTTACTTTCCTATATTCTTAGTCTATGTAGCTCACTATGAATTAAATCTTTATTTACTTCCCCCTTTCACCTGTTTCAGCAGATTTTAATACCTATGGAAAGTGCGCATTCCTTCCGAGACAGCTGCAAGGCTTGCCCCGAGCTGCTCCTTTGTGCGCTCAAGAATTTTGTCTTTGCTCACCTCATGGGCCAGCTCTTTGTGCAACAGCGTTCCCAAAGTCTGGGTGAATTACCCCCACTCTTCATTCAGCCTTATCTGCCACTTCAAGCTGAGGGGATACAGTCCTTGCATTGTCCCCAGTGCTTGCACTTTTAAACCATAACTTTTTTTAGGTGCTTTCTGCTATTTCCTGTTCTACTTTCAACTGTACTTCCAGTTACGAAGAAAATGTTCAGCTGATGCAATTCTTGTAGCTGTATTTATAGTTTATCTCTGGCTTCATCCCTTTTCTGAAATGAGCTTACTTAAATGGAGTAGGTGTAGGATACTGTCAAATGTGCAAGTATGCCTTATGAACGGTGCATCCCAGAAGACCTGTAAAAATGTCAGTATTAAACAGTATATACTGTAAATTTAAATATAAACCCTGATCTTTTGTACTTCTGTCATCTTCAAAAGTGAGCGTGCTTATAATATGGCTTCAGGAAGCATAAGGCTGAGGCTGGGCAAACCTTTCAGATTGTACGTGTGCAAGATTGCTGCTTGGGGTTGAGCAGGTGAACGGGTATCGTACTGATAGCATCTTTGCTTATTCCGTAGTAGCTACCTTCGTCTCTGCTCTTACCTTGCAATATCTATCAGTAGATGAAGGTGAGCAACCACGTTTTAAACTAGGGAAGGAGCATGTGGAGCAAGCACCTGATGGGCAGCAGACTTGCCTGCCCCATTCCTTGCTCTTCCAGCAGCTCTGTTCATTTACGACTGCACAGGTCCCTTGTTCCTGCTTGCTTGATGTACTTGCGCATTTAACTGTTAAGATTTTGACATAGATGTCACAAGACGTCAATAGGTGAGATGCTGAGAAATACCTTTAGTATCAACTGACTGGGAGGAAAACAGCAAACCCTAGGGGTTTTTGTAGACACAAAACAAACCCTATCAAAAACATAGAACAAAAAGTTTGCATGATTCCAGTGAGTTTCTGGGAGTTATACAGTAATGATGGAAATTTAGTTGTTCTGTATTATCTTTTTTCAAAAATCCTCTTTTTTTTTTTCTATTATGTGTGTCCATCCTAACTCTTTCCCTTATTTCCTCTCACATTCTCAGATAACAACTAACTGTAACCTGATTCTTTGCTGCTCTCCCTGCTGTCTCCAACTCATATTTTCAATCTGTTTCCTTTTTCCCCCACACCTCTTGGGCTGCTTCTGTATTCAGTCTTCTGAACCCCATGGTTCAAATTCTTTAAGACCGCTCTTGTGGCAGGGGAAAAGGAAACTCCCTAGTTAACCATAACCTCTCAAAAAGCAAACGATGCTGTGAGCAAAATAAGATCTCATCGCGATCAATTGGCTTTTTATGAGCCTTCAGTGACATCCTGAGAGCTTCTGCTTAATTATCTGATTTATATTATCTTTATTGTTCTGTAGTGTTTCTTACCTGCTACTGCATGTTTTGGAAAAAAAAGCATGATTATTGAGCAGACATAAATTTTGTTATCCTGCAGTGTAGCCCTACAGATAACAAAGGGTTATCATCAGAGATTCTGTGTTACAAGTCTTGCAGAAAGTTAGGGATGGGAATGCTGTGAAGTGTTAGATTATTGAGCAAACTAAAAAGTGAACCAAGTCCCTGTTTATGTGGCATTCATATTGGTGTATTGAAGGAGCATAAGAAAAGAGCAGCTGAGTGTGTCAGATACCCTAAAACCAGCTGGCTGGAAGATGGTAGCAACTATCTTTATCCAGTGAAAAACAAAAGCCCCCCCAAAACTCTATTAAGCATGGTTTTGGATTTTCAAATAGCCTTTTCTAAGTTTCTCTGAGAGAGAGTCTATAATGGACATGTAACAAGCTGAAAGCATGACCTTCAATTAGAAACTTGCTAATAAGTGGGAATTTTAGGGCTAAAAGTATGACGAAAAGATGATAATGGAGAGCCAGAGAGTTCCGTGCCAAGAACAAGTGTTGGGTGGACTGCATGATGAGATGGAGAAACTTGCAGGTGGAAGGTAAGTCCTAGAGGTTCTCTAGCTTTGAGACTTCAAGAGTGAGTGAATGAATGAATATGCAGTGT